TGGTTTCGCTACTAGTCACGAATGTTTATCTAAAACCCTCTTATCTGTTTAAGAGTGCTGGTGCTTTGTAATGAATGTTAGACAGATAACTGCCTCCAGGACGTTAAAAAAAGTTGGTGGTGGTAATGTAATTATATGAAAAACGGTATTATAAGAAAGTAAGATTGATTCAATGGACTTGAATTCATTGAATTCTAACCAAATTAGTGATATATGTGACATTAATTTGGTAACCAAATGAATGGAAAAAGGTACTCTAACCATGTTCTACCTACACATGCCTATTCAATTTTGCAGCTTCCTAGAGCCGTATTGCAATCCTACAATAAACAGCCACATACGGCTCGTTTGATACTCCCATTCTTGCAAAGCAACAGTAACCTGTTTCTGCCACACTCAACTAAATCACTAGATTTAATCCAGATTAAGCATTGTTGGACAAAAATGGATTGACATGATTTGCCAAAGACAATCGCATCCTCAGACTCTGCAAAAGCTGACCAAAGCTCTACATTTGGAGTGGGAGAGTATTCTTATCAAGTATTTATTTCACACATTTGCTTCCGTTAGATGCCGTCTGTGGCTATCATTTGTGTCTGCGCGGCGGGGGGGGGCATACCAGATATTGATCTTTAATGACCTCAAACTCTGATTTTGAAATTCTTGAGTAATTATTACATTTAGATAGTATTCCTGTTGTTAACCACATTTCTGTTTTATTAATACATCATTTTACTAAATAATCTTTATGTTCAATGTGACACCAAAAATTCTACTATGCGTTTCTTTTTTTTTGAAGAGTATATATTCTTTTTTACTTTACCCTGATTTAGATTTTGTATTTTATTTAATATATAATAGATTATTTATGTGTTTGACTTTAAATGATATAATACAAAATCTTGATTCCGTGTTTTTACGGGACCTATTATGATATGCATATTTACTCGTGTGGAAAAGATGACTTTATCTCTGGGATCAGCTTTATTTACCATCGTACACTGCATTTATTGGTATGAAGACAATTGTTACGCTTCAAAAGAGCTGTAAAATGATAATCAATAGGGATTTTAAACTTTGGCAATTCTCCTCTCTGTCATTGTATTGAGAATTCTGAATGCAATTTTTAAATAATTGATTTGCGTCTTATCCATATGCATGTATAACCTGTTAGAGTGATTACATATCTACAGAAAGTTCTAAATCGTAGTTATTATACATCTGGTTTCTTTCAAATGGATTTATTCTTAGAATCTGTAAGTATTTTTCAAAATATTTTTTTTAATTTGGGATATTGATAATCTGAAGTCTACACAAAGATTTTCATGCGATCAGGGCCTTCTGTAAAGGATAAAAAAAAATATCGACAGCCATTTTACAATAAAGTTCATTATGAATATCCTATTCAAATATAGAACTCCTGAATAGTAGAGCATTAACTTAGATCGCAGAGTTGCAGGCCTTTTAACGTAACGCGAAAACATACATATCCTATGAATATTAGCCATATGAATCCCTTGTTATTATATTTAGGTCTCTGATATTTTTAAGAAATTTGTCTGCATCGTTTTTGTGTTACTTAAACCCAAATATATACCATTACAGTTGTAACATTATGGGCGATACTCTATTTCAGGCAAGATCTGCTTAAAAAAATAACTTTGAATTTGCAAATGAAATTCATTTTGATTCCTTTAGTCATTTAACATAGATTTGAAATAAGACTTTAAATAAAATTTAAATTGTCATTTGGTTAGTTTTTTTTAACATTAAATGTGGATAATTGCTTTTTTATCGAAATTAGTGAGGATATTTTACGAACAACACCATGCGTGCAGTTACGGAGATGCGGTGCTCATAGGATGATTAAGAAATTTGTTTCTTACAAGAAGAAAATATCATCAACAAATAACCAATAATGATGGTAAACTGCAGTTCATAAAGGACATGGTAGAAAAAGACTCCTTTTTGACCCTGGATTTAGGGTGTCTTTATGAATGATGCAACATTTAAAAATAAAAAAGTCTCAGTTGCATCAGTTAATAGTCAAACATCTGTCTTTGTAACTAGAGCAATATCTTAAAAGGTTGGGTGTCAAAAACACTATTTGCAGGTGATGTGTGGACAATTTACCATATAATAAAAATTAATATGGAAAATCTTAAATCGTTTCATTTTCATCTATAATAAGCCAAATATATATTTTGTGGTGTCTTTCAAGTTCATTAGGACATATCGAGATGGCAAATAGGTAGAAGTAATTATTTAACCTTAGATAAAACGTCCTTCATATATTTGAATAAAGAGGTCAAGGTCAGAGTATTTCTTTTTCTTTTTATGTATAGTGCTTGAATAAATTCTACAGCACATTAGTACAATAAGTAATTGGCTAATATTTAAAACAATAAGTAACAAGATGTGTTTGTGAAACGCTATGCACCCAGCAGCAACAAAGTTTGAAAAAGCTATTTTTAGTATATAGGTCACAGTCAAGGCCAAAAGGTGATTGACCTTGGTGTCATTTGAAAAAAAATTAATTAGTGAAGTGTGCATACCAAATATGAAGTCTCTATCTCTCACGGTTCAAAAGCTATGGCGAATGTGAAAGTTGACAACAGACAGACAGAGACACGAACAGGCAAACAGACAAACAGACATACAGGACAAAAACAATGTATGCCCCGATCTATCGATCCGGGCGCATAAAAATTGGAACACCAGATAATTGTCGTTAGATCTGGTCTCAAGCAAGGATGACACTTTTTTTCCATTGTATTAATGGAGAAATAAAAAAAAAAGTTATCATGATTACAAGACTTTTGAGTAATCAATTAAATAACAATTACTTGTAATGAAAAGAAATTGTTACCACTGTTTATTTTCGATAACAGATTACAAAGGAGTGTATAAGCAATAACAGTTGCTTACAATTACGCATTACGCTATGGATTTCATTAATTGTAAATACATCATCATAACTAAATGTTCACATGTACATATTATTGATATGTGTATTTTTCGAATAGATAAAGTATGATATGTGAATTTTTTACAAATATTCTAACAAACTTCCAGTACTTGTTATCAAATCTTACTCTTTTAAATAAGTTTTTTTGATTCAGTACACTGAATTGTAAATATAAAGACGATCTTTTTGCTTCAAAAGAGCTACTAAAAAGTTATTCATCCAGTAGAGTGGGTATTTAGATATCCATTATAGATTTAAACACCGTCAATGCCGATCTAATATTACATGGAATGGCGTCTGACATAAATGGTTCCTTTTACACAGGTTATTGATATGTAAAAAAAAGTTATAAATCTTGGAAACTATGCTCTGGATATTTTTCACATGGATCATGTTTTAAGAATATGTAATTATTTTAACAGTTTATTTTTAAAAACGATAAGGTTACTATTCATTTAAGGTGTACAGAGAGGATTGTGTATTGATCAGGTACAGCTTTAAACGATGAAAAAAAAAACAATTCAACCATTTTATTACATTGTTTTATAATGAAAAAACATTAGAATATTCCAAATTAGGAGACTAGAAGCAAGTTTAAGATACATGTTTATAATAAATACAGTTACATATTGTGATAGTGTTGGTATTTTCTTTTAAGTTGACCAGCTTTCGCCTTCATCCGATTCTCTTCGCAGGCCCTCATGTTGTTATAAGTAACCGTTGAGGAACCGGAGACGGTCTACACTTCAGACGCTACGCTTCACGCTACAGTTTTACACGTTCAAAACATCGTATCCAGACCAGGCACATGTAACCAGGGGTTAGGGCAGGGCTGGGGTATAGAGATTTAAATGTAATCTAGTTGATACTTACTAGGTAGACCCTGGTTTTGGTAACCGTATCCTTCAGTTTCGATATAAAGAACAAAACAAAACCGATAATGATAATGATACATAATGACCATTGATGATCTTTCATACAATCATAACGTGTTATGTATTTTTGTAGAGATAAGGCAAATAATACAAATTGCATATTATTATAAATCTAATGTTTTTTTTTCTTCTGAATTACCTGTAGATATGTTGATGATGGAAGTAACAAAATTTGAATGCTTCACGAAGACAAAGTAATTTGTAATAAAAATAAATGGTAGTTACAAAAGTCACAAAATGAAATAGAAAATTAGGAAATAACAATGAAATGATGACATACTTCTTAATAAAAAAATATATTTAATTAAAGGATACTTTTGTGAAACACAGATGCCACCGAATGGCAGCTTATGGCATGTCTGAAATTTCACAACTGCAGGTTAAACTCGAAGGTCAAGTTCAAAAAGTCGAAATAGCTGGCATACACTGAAACGAAAGTTCTCCTCATAAGAAATTACACATTTGGAATATGGATGATGTAGTACTAACGGTTCAAAATGTTAAATTTTTAAAGATTAAAGTTTTTGAGTGGTAAAAATCTACGGTCAAGGTCAAAAGGTCAAACGTTTTGGTATCCAATGAAAGATCCTGTCACAAGGAATATACCTGTGAAAAATGAAAGCCTTAGTAATAATTGTTCAAAAATTATTGTCAATATTGTTTTTTATCTTAAAGTGGGCCATACTCTAAAATGAAGGTCAAAAGGTCAATGGTATCAAAAGAAAAGTCTTGTCACGAGAAATACACCTGTGAAATATGAAAGCCATAGCCTCACTTAAATGTTTTGGACAAAGTTAACGTTTTTGAGGATAAACAGACAAAATAGAAATAAATGTATTCATGACGTCCCTGCTAGAATTTGAACCCATGTGTACCATCTCCTTTCAAGTTGCACAATCTTAAAAAAAGAGAATTAACGGTCTCCCAACTTCGTTACGTCTCGCTATAAAACCTGAGAAGAATACATCCCCAAAAACCTTTGCAACACATGAAAAAATATTCTTTAAGTACGTATGTTAGGCTTTAATTACCGATCAAATTGATAAACTATAGCATTGAAATTTCAGAGTGGTAATTAAACTTCAAAAACCAAAAGAATGGCTTCTGCACCCGACCCTGGTGACCGTTCCAGAATTGTGGAAGACATTCTCGAGAATTGGCGGGAAGACGACATTGCCTTCATCCCTACAAAGGCAAGTGAAGTGGTGAATGAAAAGCTTAAAAGTCAAAATTTTATCACAGTGGTTGGAAATTCTGGTTCCGGCAAATCTGCATTAATTCAACATGTTGCACTCTATCTTAAAGACCATGAGTGGAATGTCATACCAGTGAATACGGTAAAAGAAATTAAAAAGATATGTTCACCTGGAGTCTCAGAAAATCGGACATTATTTGTATTCAATGATCCTTTTGGTAAGGAATCGTTTGATGAAATTGCATATCATTCATGGAAAACTTTTCAGAAAACGCTTGAGATTTGCTTGAATAATTGTAAACTATTGATATCATGTAGAAGATGCGTTTTTTATGACAAGAGAATCATGGGTACCCTTTTGGACGAATCCACTGCAGTAGAAATTGACAACAAAGAAAATGGACTGACGATTGAAGAGAAAAGAGCGATTTACTATCAGTATTCAAAAAATCGGGAAATATCAGAAAACATTGTAACGGAAATAATCAAAACAGAAGCTTACTTTCCATTGCTTTGTAAGCTTTATTCAAGGGAGACAAATTTCAAAGAAAAAGGGGTAGATTTCTTCAAAAATCCATACAGATTTATTAAACAGGAAATAGAAATTTGGAAGAAAACAGACAAGAAAAAATTCTGCTCTCTTTTCTTGATTTTCTCTTTTAAAAACAATCTGAAAATCGATGATATTGAAAGAAATGAAATTTCAATGATGAAATATAAAGACATTTTAGCAACGTGTGAGTTACAAGAAAACACAGATATTTCAGTTATTCGTAGTACTCTACGTGAACTTACAGGATCTTTTGTCAAACGTGTTGGAAATGCTTTCCAATTTCTTCACGACTTTATAATGGAGATAGCGATTCTGGTGTTTGGTGTTGATTGTCCAAGAAAATTAATTCAGTACGCAGACAGTGGTTTTCTGAGACGTCGGATGAGAATGGAGGGCAATAAAGAGGAGAAAGATCGAGATCCGTTAACTGTTTACTTGCCTGAAGAATACATTGGTGATCTTGTGAAAAGGTTTATTACTGACATACAAACAGAACACTTTGTAGATGTTCTTCTCAATCCATGCTTACGAAATAAACGCGTGATAAAATCTTTTAAGGAAAAAGTGGATTCATTCGGGAAGCTTCTTGTCAAAATTAAATGTGAATTGGACAGGTCGGAATTTTCAAAATCATTTGAGGGCAGTGGTTCTTCATTTTCAAGGCTTGATTTCCTTGAAGCAGAAGATAAAATATGTCCTTTGGTCGGGCTCATCGTATTTTGTCATACAGATATTTCTTCATATTTCTTAAATAGTATCCCTGAAACAAAGTTGAAAGGATTTCCTATATTCTCTGCTATATGTGCGAATGGTGATTTAAAACTGTTAAATATTCTTAGCGAGGAATATAAAAAATCAGCAATGATGGAAATCTGGGGCAAATTTTCACCAGTTCACACTGCCTCTGCATTTCATAATTTTTTAATAATTGGGGAATTAGTACGACTTGGTGCTGACGTAAACAAGTTAACAACATATTTGTGGAACCCATTATCATTAGCTGCTTGGAATGACGAAGAACACTTGAAAGAAGCTGGAATGAATACAAATAAGGGAGAAAGACGTAACGCAACTATTGCTTCGTTATTGAAGAAAGGCGCTGACATCAATCCATGTAACAAGACTGGAGTCAGTCCTTTATATGTAGCTTGTCAAAGTGGACACTACAGCACAGTGCAGCTTTTGCTAAACAACAATGCCGACATTAATTTCAAAAACAAGGATGGGTTAAGTCCTCTTTCCGTAGCTTGTCAATGTGGACATAATAGCACGGTACAACTGTTACTGAACAAGAGTGCTGCCATCAATTCATGTAATAAGGAAGGATTAAGTCCTCTTTATATGGCTTGTCAAAATGGCCATGATAGCACAGTACGACTATTACTGAACAGCGGTGCTGATGTCAGTTTATATGATAGTGATGGAATCAGTCCTCTTTTCATAGCTTGTCAAAAAGGACATGCTAGCACGGTTCAATTGTTACTTAACAACAGTGCCGATATCAATTCATGTAACGCTGATGGAGTCAGCCCCCTCTGCGCAGCTTGTTATAATGGACATGATAGCGTGGTGCAGGTTTTACTGAGCCATGGTGTCAACATAAATTTAAGCAGCAAATACGGAGTCAGCCCCCTCTGTGCAGCTTGTTTTAATGGACAAGATAGCACGGTGCAGCTTTTACTGAACCACGGTGTCAACATTAATTTATGCAACAACGATGGATTCAATTCCCTCTTTGCAGCTTGTGAATACGGACAAACTAGCACTGTGCGTCTTTTATTGAACCACGGTGTTGATATCAATTCATATAATAAGAATGGAGTCCGTCCTCTTCATATAGCTTGTCGAAATGGAAATAATAGCACAGCACAGCTTTTACTGAGCCATGGTGCCGACATCAATTTATGTAGCAATAATGGATTCAGCCCTCTTCATATCGCTTGTCAAAATGGTCATAGTAGCACGGTACAGCTGTTACTGGAAAACGGTGCAGACATTAATTCGTCTTCTAATGATGGATTCAGTCCCCTTTTTATAGCTTGTCAAAATGGTCATGATAGTACGGCACAATTGTTACTGGACAACGGTGCCGACATCAATTTATGTGATAATGATGGGGTTAGCCCCCTCTGTATAGCTTGTCATAATGGACATGATAGCACGGTAAATCTTCTACTGAAGAACGGTGCCGACATCGGTCTTTGCCATAAAAGTGGATCTACTCCACTGTGGCTAGCTTGTCAAAACGGATATGAGAGCACGGTACAACTGCTACTGAATGAAGGTGCAGACATCAATTCATGTAATAATGATGGAGTCGGTCCTCTTAATATTGCTTGTGAGAAAGGATATAATAGCATGGTACAACTGTTACTTAACAACGGTGCCAACATCGATTTTTGTAATAAGAATGGAGACAGTTCCCTTCTTACAGCTTGTTACAATGGACACGAAAGCACGGTACAAATCTTACTTAACAACGGTGCCGATACCAACTTAGGAAACAACGACGGACTCGCTCCTCTTTACATTGCATGTCAAAATGGACATGATAGCATGGTGCAGCGTTTACTTAACAACGGTGTCAACATCAATTTTTGTAATAAGAATGGAGACAGTTCCCTTCTAACAGCTTGTTACAATGGACATACAAGCACAGTACAAATCCTACTAAACAACGGTGCCGATACCAATTTAGGTAACAACAATGGGCTCACTCCTCTTTACATTGCATGTCAAAATGGACATAATAGCATGGTGCAGCTTTTACTGAACAACGGTGCTAACGTCAATTTATGTGAAAAACATGGAGCAAGTCCTCTTGATATAGCTTCTCAAAATGGACATAATAGCACGTTACAACTGTTAGTGAACAATGGTGCTGACATCAACTCATGTGATAATGATGGATTCAGTCCTCTTTTTAAAGCTTGTCAAAAAGGACATAATAGCACGGTACAACTTTTATTGAAAAATGGTGCCGACATAAATCTAAGTGACAATGATGGAAACACAGCCATCTTTATTCCTTGTCAAAGTGGACATGATAGCAATGTACAATTGTTATTGAGCAATGGTGCCGACATCAATTCATGTAACAACGATGGAGTCAGTCCCCTCTGCATAGCTTGTGACAATGGACATGATAGCACGGTACAATTGTTGCTGAATAATGGTGCTGACATAAATTCATGTGATAATCATGGATTTAGTCCTCTTTATATAGCTTGTCAGAATGGACATAATACAATTGTACAACTGTTATTGAACAACGGTGCTGACATCAATTTTCGTAATAACAAGGGATTAAGTCCACTTTATATAGCTTGTAAAAATATGCACTATAGCACGGTACAACTGTTAATAAACAATGGCGCCGACATCAACTCCTATAAAAACAATGAAGTCGGACTTCTTTTTGCAGCTTGTCATGATGGACATGATAGGATGGTGCAATTTTTACTGAATAATGGTGCTGACATCAATTCGCGTGATAATAATGGATTCAGTCCTCTTTATATAGCTTGTCAAAATGGACATGATAGCACGGTACAACTGTTACTGGACAACGGTGCCGATATCAATTTATATTGCGACGATGGAGTCGGTTTCCTCTGTTTAGCTTGTCAAAATGGACATGATAACACAGTACAACTATTACTAAATCATGGTGCACACATCGATTCCGATATAAAACATAAAGTCGGTCCACTTTATATGGCTTGTCAAAATGGACATGATAGCACGGTTCAGTTGCTATTGAACAACGACGCCAATATCAATTCATGTGATATTGATGGCGACAGTCCTCTTTATATAGCTTGTCAAAAAGGACATGACAGCACGGTACAACTGTTACTAACCAATGGCGCCGACATCAATTTATGCAACAAAGATGGCGAAAGCCCTCTGTATACAGCTTGCAAAAAAGGACATGATAGCACGGTACAACAGTTACTGAACAACGGCGCCGACATCAATTTGTGTAACAAGAATGGAACAAGTCCTCTTTATATAGCTTGTCAAAATGGACATGAAAGCACGGTACATCTTTTACTTGACAATGGTGCCGAAATCAATTTAGCTGACATCGAAGGGGACAGTCCCCTCCATACGGGTTCTTAAATTGGACATAACAGCAATGTGAAACTCTTGCTAAACTATGGAAATGAATAATTTATGTAACAAGAATGTAGCCAGTCCTCTGTCGATTGCTAAAACAAACGGACATGATAGTGCAGTCCAATTATTATGCGCCCGAATTTATTCGGAGTGCATATTGTTTTTGTCCTGTCTGTCTGTTTGTCTGTTTGTCTGTCTATCTGTTTGTCTGTCTTTGTCTGTTTATCTGTTTATCTGTTTGTCTGTCTGTTGTCAACTTTAACCTTCGCCATAACTTTTAAACCGTGAGAGATAGAGACTTCATATTTGGTATGCAAACTTTACAAATTAAGCACTTTCAACCGACACCAAGGTCAATGACCTTGTGACCTTGACTGTGACCTTTATACTAAAAATAGTTTTTTCGAACTTTCGCCATAACTTTTGAACAGTGGGAGATAGAGGCTTCATATTTGGTATGCATACTCCAACACAATCCAAAACAAAAAGGGAAAATCAAAATTCCCTTTTTTTCACCCAACGTTTACAATCTGAAGTCATTTTGGTCTTAAAATCCTTATATGTGTCTCCACAAGTTCCCTTTTTGAAGATTTTTTTTAAGTATTTGAGGAACGTTCCTCTTTCTGCACTTCAGATGCATTTGTTATGACCAGACTTTTGAGGAACGTTCCTCTTTCTACACTTCAGATGTATTTGTTATGACCAGAGATTTGAGGAACGTTCCTCTCTCTGAACTTCAGATGCATTTGTTATGACCAGACTTTTGAGGAACGTTCCTCTTTCTACACTTCAGATGTATTTGTTATGACCAGAGATTTGAGGAACGTTCCTCTCTCTGAACTTCAGATGCATTTGTTCTGACCAGAGATTTGAGGAACGTTCCTCTCTCTGTACTTCTGATGCATTTGTTATGACCAGACATTTGAGGAACATTCCCCTCTCTAAACTAAGATGCATTTATTATCACCAGACATTTGAGTAATGTTCCTCTCTTAAAGATGTGCACATACAGTGTGTATTTTATAATACCTTATGAATGAACACATCAGGCATTTGAGGAACATTCATCTCTCAAATTTACTTATTACCGTAGGCATCTCATAAATTTTCAAATATTAGGCATTAGAGGAACGGTCCTCTTCCAATTTCAAATATTGATACTATATACACCATGTACACTGGAGGAACGTTCCTCTTCAAACTATTGACACTGGATTTACTAGTCTAAACACAACATATTTGAGGAACGTTCCTCATCCAATTTCAAATATTGATACTATATACACTGGAGGAACGTTCCTCTTTCAACTTGACACTGTATTTACAAGTTTTAACACACAATATCACAAACGTTCATCAGTCAATTTCTGTTGATAATACATACTACATGACTGTATATAAACAGTACATTTGAGGAACATTCCTCTACCAATTCCTATCAAAACACTACTACCATGAATCTTAATACACTGAACGTTCCTCTCCCCATTTCAAAATTTGACACTGGACTGGAGGAACATTCCTCTTCCAACTGTTGACAATGGATTCATGTAGAATACTTTGTTATGTTGTTAAGTAACTTGAGATTCAATGTTATTATATAACTTATACATGAATCAGAGTATAATTGGATTTGAAGAAAGCTATACACCCAGGTACTCCCTAACGTAAAAGAGTAGATAATCCTGTTTATTTCATAAAGTCAAATTTCAAGGTTGAGACTATTCTGACACAGAAAAATAATGTCTGCTTAAAATTTTGGGAACCCTTTGCTTTACAGACATCAAACTTAGTATACTGGTACTCCCAAAGGAATAAAGACCCTACTGATTTTGGGTTACAAGGTGAAAGCACAAGGCTCAAACTGATCTAGAAAAAGAAAAGTATTGTTTACTCAATATTTAAGTACTAGTAACTTGAGATTCTAATGTTTGAAAAATAATTTAATTCACTAGATCTGTAGTCCTCCTAAGAAATATATGACCACTTTTAATTTGGGGGTCATAACTCGATCACAAGATCAAGTACGTGTCATTCTTGACAATTAATATTTTAGGAAATCATTTTTCACTCAATTTTGTGAAAAGTCTCTTATTATTACAGACATTAAACTCGTTGGTACCACTCCTTAGGAGTATACATGATCACATTTTATTTTGAGGTCATATCTCTGGATATAGGAATGTATATCTGCTGAATAAAGAGTAAATGTTTATTTTTATTTTAAATGAGAAAAAAGGGCAACTGTTTGAATCGTGCAAGAGACAAAATCTACAACAAGGAATTGATCAAAAAAGTTATACCATTCCCCTGGTCCCCTGCATTTCCCATTATGATATAAATAACTGTTGTATAAAGCATTATGCTTTCTTACACTAAAATAAACAATTTTCTTTAGCAATTGAAATTTTATGATATTTATTAAATGAAAAAATCTTTCAGGAAAAGTATTCTTACCCTTAGCTTTTTTAGTATAGTTCATCCAAGATTAATTTATGAAAAGTCAGTGCATTGACCAGTAAATTCTCTATAAGTTGAACATCCATTGACATTTGAAAATCATGCATGTATGTCTCTACTTACTTCATCACGCAGTTTTTTGACCAAAACTAATTATATAACTTTATCACAGTATAACACAGTATAACACACAGATATATCAATGTCTAATTTCTCCAATTTCGAATTCCCCTTCAAACAACAGTTGCATTTAAATGATAGCTGTTCACATGTGCAACTGCGACCCTTCCATACATATTTGAATGGACACATGTGGTGCCACTAACTGAAGAAATGTCAATCAACACTGCACACTGATAATCTTGGGTGTGTTATCAGTCTTGGACACATCCATCTCTCAACCCTACCAAAATGTTCACAATTTCAAATCAGAAGATGATTATCACATCGAAAGATTGTTGAATAAAACAGGATGTTGCAGTTCTTCACAGTTAAGGATTTATCAAGGTATATATGCAAATAATAATATTATCAATTTATGAAAATTCTTTGTATGCTTTGTTTGCATAAAAACTAAACTAAAATATTTTATCAATAACTTAGTCAGAGTTGATCAATCCTGCTGAAATATAAGCTGTCAGACACTTCCAAATACCAGTATATTAAAATGAGAAATTTACTTTAATTTTAGACAAAATGATATGCCCTGGATTTCAATGTAAAAGAAAACGAATACCCTCATGACACCACTTGCAGCAACATTTCAGAGAAATGATTAAAATGTCCTAAACAAATCAAGTAAGTACAGTAGTCATAATTTTCATTATTACCGGTAGTTGGGAAAATTAGAATTTCTATGAATTCCAATATATTATATGTTATCAAATGCTGTACATGGCAGGAAATAGATTAATTATGTTGAATACAAGTAAAACATGTATAAAAAGCAGTGCCAGGGATCGACGGATGATTTTGCATTATTATGAGCGAAATTAGTTATGAAGATAAAAATACATAATTAAGTCACAGGGAATAAAAGCACTTTGTGTAACTCAATTCAACATAAGTGTGTTGGCAAAACTCATTTTTTACTGTATTTTGTTAATTTTTTTTATTATTCATCATTTACTTATCTCAATTTCTTTATTTATTTTTTTGGGGGATGGGAGTGGGGATGGGTGGGGTCCGTGCCCATACTAATTTTTTTGGCTTCCTAACACAGGAAACTTTGATTGAGAATTTGCTCCTTAAAAAAATACCCCCCCCCCCCTTGCCACTGAACGTATCCTATATACTTTTTAAAAATATGCAAAATATACATATTTATGTAGTGTTTTTAATTTGTATTACCGGGTATATCTTTTAATATGATAATTAAGAGACGTACACTCTATGTTCAATTAAAGTTTTGGACAGATCTGGTATATTTTATATGTCAAGTCAGTGTCTTATTTGCTTTTTTTTAAATCAAACATTAATTGATTTGATAAAGAGAACAATAGCTGTGTTTCACCTAGTTCAATCCAAAAATCATCCGTGCTTCACAAGATGCTCAGCACTGTTAATTCTGATGGTTTTAGAGCAGAGCAGAACACATTCAACAAGGCTCAAAGGAATAATCTAGTGTGTCAAAGAATTAATGTGTTTAGATGAAACAGAGCCGTATAGTTTGTTTATGTATGGCCAATGCTGAAATCTTAAACTCTGAGACAATTATCCCTTCATCGGCTTCACTAAGTGGTCACTGGTAAAATGTTTATTCTTTCCCAAGATATCGTTAGCTCTATTACTTGTGTGTATGAACAGGAGTACTTAATACATGTATATTAAAATCATGTGTTTTTCTTTGCTAGCAATATAGTGACCTTGTCTGATATCATACCCTCCTATAAAAACATGTTAAAATTTTACTCTAAATTGGTTATCTTGAAATATTATGGAAAAAAAAGACACAAATTCAATAAATTATTATCCCAATATTGTATCCTTTTAAACTATATGCTGCGGTTAGAATAAGGATAAAATTTAAAAAAAAACTAATTATAAAAGATTTAAACACTTTTCTGAAACAATTTACCGGGAAAATTTTTTTAATTTTTATAAAAATTCTAGGCATATTTTGTTGTGTTGTCAACTGCAAGGATTATGATCAAAGCTTAAGTACACGTGTACAATTTAAAGAAACATATATAACAAAACAAATTTATCTCAAAGGGTTTTTTGTCATTCTATATATTAATCTTTTCTAAAAAAAAAAAAATAATTAAATACAAACTCACATTTTATGTATTTCATTAATTGTTTTAACAGATTTTTAATATTAATCAAAATGGAATGCAGTCCAAAATAGAGTGAATATGAAGTTTCTTTTAGTTGTCAATCATCACTATCCCACTGAAAAATATATTTTATTCTAAAAAAATCCAAAGGTGGCATCTTATTTATATTCCTACATACACCTTAGGGCTGGGTATTGACCTGAGATTTCGTATTGCGATATATTGCGATATTTTCAACTGTATTGCGATATGTATTGCAATATT